CACAACCACAGCCAGTACGGGCACCAGTACTAGTACCACTACCGCTACCAGTAACGCTACCACTACCACTACCACCACCAACACCACTACCACTACCGCTACCGCTACCGCTACCGCTACGGCTACCGCTACCAGTACAAGTACCAGTACCACTACCCCTACCACTACGACTACTGCTGTTTCCGACGACGGCGAGACGACGACGACGACTACTACTACTCCTGCTCCTGTTGCTACAAATTCTGCGGCCACCACCACCACCACGACCACCACCACCATGCCGTCGATGCTGCACGTGTGCTACAATTGTGGCCCAAAGAGGTGCGAAGGCAGGAGTTGTCTTCTGAAAATGGCTTCCATAAGGTCTAAAGAAAATGCAAAGGATCATTAACACCGTCATTTTGACCACGGCAATTGTCATCACCATCACCAGCAGTTACAACAGAAGTCCGATCATCAGGATGACGTTCCTGTACTGGCATCCGTCTCACTTCGATGTGTCAGCATTAACAACCATCATCATCATCGTCATCGTCATCACCATCAATTGCAGTCAGACCGGCGCGATCATCGACGCAAGGAGACAAGTAATTAGGTCCGACAAGAACAGCATCAATGAGATCAAAGATGATAACCAGGGCCTCCTTATGCCTGTCAGAAAGCGTATCAGCGTCCGTCGATCTGAATCTGGCTGCGACTCGCCCTGCATTCAAGCGCAACCCTGTCCTTCTTCCTGCTTTTCGCCTCCCTCCTTTTCGCCTCCATCCCGGCCAGGAAGGATGGAGAACATTTTGATCACTGTTGAGGCAGTTCCCCTTTCAGATGCCGTGTGCAGTGGCTGGTAGAACTCGGTTCCTTGAATGTACTGAGCTCCGCCTGATGCCAGGATATAAACTCCTTCGCCTTTCTCGTTCCCACGGAAAATCTCATCATGCTCAAGGAGATAAAGCTCTTTCGCGGCCCTGTTGCACAGCTGCAATTCCATCAAGCTGTTTTCAGCACATAGTTCCAGGAAGAAGGGATGGCAAGCCAGTGTGATGGAGCGGGCCTCATGAAAAAGCTCCTTGACGACAGTCTCGGGCAGTGTCAACAAGAATTGCATATGCTCTTGGATGCTTGCTCGGCAATGCTCCCGTTCCACCAGCCTTCTCACCTTCATGGTGTGGCCGTAGGACACCCCACATACTCCACAGTATTTTCTCACGGAGTCAAGGATATGTGCCATCTTGCGCGTTCGACGCGCAACATCTGCCATCAGGTTAGTTACCACACTGATAAACAACGAGGAGATGATCAATGAAGCGAAAGTGGCCATGATGGCCACCCAGCGCTCCAAAGTAGTGTGGAGCGCGACGTTAGCTCGCAAGGCTGACGCCGGCAATCGTGACACAGCCCACTCCACGCTTCGTGTGTATTGAAGGACAAATGGAGCCTCATGCAGGCCTTCGTTAAATGCCCAGCCTTGTTCCACAGTCCCTGCAACAAACCACAGGGCTGCCAGGAAATGGACTGAAATTGCGAGGCCACACATCAGGCAGAGTACCGGCAGCAAAGAAGACGAAATCCGACCACTGAAAAACGTTCTAAACTGCTTGTAGAAGCTCAGCTTCTTCAGCACAAGCACTGCCTTCCGAAATCTCAGAATCCGAACGAAGCGAACGACCTTCATCAGGCGCCTGGCTCGCAAGGCACGTAACAAACCGGATGCGGCCGCATCGTCAGCTCCCTCCATCGGTGAGAAGTGGTTTACGAAAACCACGACTTCTGGCACCAACATCAGAGCGTCGAAGAAAAGCCAGGATTTCAAGTATGCCCGTGCGACGTCTGCGAAGCTGGTGTGCAGAACGTCATTTATGTAGACGGCCGTCAGAAATGATAGTGGCAAATCCAAAAGCCAGTATAGCATGGTTCCCCAGTGCAGACAGTCTGCCACATGTCTGGCGTCCCCGGCTATATCGTAGACTTGCAGAGGAGTCATGAAGACCTCAGGTTGTCGACAGGGCTTCTTGGAGCCTGAATCTGGACACATGTAAACCACGAAAGCCCACCTCCACGAGCAAGGCCAGCATGCCCAAGACTTCCCAGAACATCCTCTGTCACTGTGCGGATTTTGTCGGAGGCTGAGGCGGCTGGCGATTATTTATTGATTGCACATTTAGCTTCACCAGTAGCTTCACCAGTGTTGGCAGGCATGAGATCCTCTACACTAGATGCAACGGCCAGATGGTAGTCAGAACCCTGTTCATAGTCAACACGTTCAACTGCAAGTCCTCTGGGGCGATTCAGGATGGATAGCGCAGCCAGTGTTGGTTAAGCCAGTGACGCGACGATACTTTCGACCTGTGCCGGACGTCTTCAAAACCGGGTGCTTTGGCCTCAGTTTGGACAAAGTGCCCGGATGTTTGCTTGCAAACCGAAGAGTCAAGTCAATGCAAGGAGCGAAGTGATGGCAGAAGTCCGCTGGAGGTCCGCAACATCATCGTCATCCAAGGCCCACCTCAGCAAGACGACATGGCACGCAGAAAATGATGGCGCTGAAAGGCACAGAGCCAATCCAAGCTTCAATATGCGTTTCCCGGCCCCTGCCTACGCAAGGCCGAAGCCACCATTAAACGGTACAGCCTTTCTACATGATTGGATGCCCCATGCTTGTCACCTTGCACTGACAGGATGACTTGACTGTCTCATCATAACCGCATCTCCTGCTCAGAGCTCCACCGTTGGAGAGCAGCAGCAATTACACATGTTGCACCATGTCACTGTGCAGGCTACAGCAGAATAATTCCATGCTGTACCGAGACACTCATCGGCCACTTGGAAGCCAATATCACCATGGCGCAGCATTTCGTCCATGTGAGCTTCAGTGAAGTCTTTTGCTTCTTTTGCCAAGCTAAGAGTCATCTGTTTTGACGTACGCGAGGCACGAGAGGCTCGTGAAGCCTGATGGCTCACCGGCAACTCGGCATCGCTGGAGACCACGGAAGCGCCTGCTGAGCCCGTCCTTCATCCGGTGTTGATCACTCGAACAATGCAATCTTCATTGCAAAACTACCCTAAATCTCAAAAAATCTTCTGTGGAATGGCAAGGAGACCTCTTCAGATTTCCAAGCTTCGGGTAGCTTTTCGCCTTCAATCTCTTTGACCTGGCATGTGCAGAACTCAAGGCCCTTGACTTTTGCGTCGAAGGTGTTGCCACGAAATTTCAAGAAACTGTGAGATCCAGGACAATGCCCTCCCGGAAGTTAGGTCGTAAGATGCACGGGCTGGATCGATTTCGCGGATGCTTTCGGCATAGCTGCAAAAAGCGGGAGTCCGAAGCAGCGGCTGCTAATCGCAGCCGCACAAACCGCAAGGCAAGTCTATGCCATTGCGGGACTCATTCCCGGCTTTCCGAAGTCAAGTCCAACTTGGAACGGCTGGCGGCTAGAGTTTGGGCGGTTGCAGCCGGAGTTCCATCTCACAACATGTCATGTCTCCTCCGAGCACAAGCCTGCAAACCCAACCCTTGCGACTCAGAGCCCGTAGCTCCAAACTCCCAGCCACGGCACTCGTCCACATCTGATTCGTAGGCTTGCAGCAGCTTCTCGTGCAAAGCCTCGACGGCGGGAGAAAAGCATGGATGCCCCACCAATTGCGCCGTGCAGCTCAGCGGTTCAAGCGTTTGTGCAGACTCCTCTAACAATGGCACAAAACACGTGTACATGAAAAGATCATATCATATACATACGTATCTAGCTAATTAGAAGAAGAAAGAAACACAGGCACGCAGAGAGAGAGAGAGAGAGGGA